CTGTAAGAGTGCCAATGCCTGAGATGATGGGGCGTCCAGAATTTCCAGGTTTATGGATCTTGGGTAGCAGATAGAATACCCTTTGGCCGGGGCTCTAGGGATGTGTCCGTGTAGATTTGTTCCCATGCAGTAGCAGAGAGTTTCATGAGCAGATGGTGTAGTTTCTTTTGGTACTCCTCAGTGGGATCAGAGGATAGTGGCCTGTAGAATGTGGTGTTGGAGTGTTGCCTGGCAACCTCCTGTTCATAATCCGATCTGTTCATTATGACTACAGCACCTCCTTTGTCAGCTCCTTTGATTACAATGTCAGAGTTGTTTCTGAGGCTGTGAATGGCGTTGCGTTCTGTACAGCTGAGGTTATGAGGCAAGTGATGCTGTTTGTTCACTATTTCAGCCAGTGCACATCTGCGGAAGCACTCTATGTAGAAGTCCAGTCTATCATTTTGACCATCAGGAGGAGTCCACGCAGAGTTCTTCTTCTAGTGTTGGTAGGAGGGCTCCTGTAGGTCAGTGCTCTGTTCAGTGGTGTGTTGAAAATATTCCTTGAGTCGGAGACGGCGAAAGTAGGCTTCCAGATCACCGCAGAACTGTATCATGTTCGTGGGGGTGGTGGGGCAGAGAGTCCCTGAGATAAGACAGACTCCTCTGCCAGGCTAAGTTTGTGGTTGGCTAGATTAACAATATTGTTGGGTGAGTTAACGGTACCACTGTTGTAGCCCCCTGTGGCATGTAGGAGTTTAGATAGTTTACTGTCCTTTCTTTTTCCTCTGTAGAGAAGTAAATTGTAAATGGCTTGTCTTGATTTTGTAAAGTTCAATCACGTGGAAGTTTGTGTGGAAGTTGGGGTTTTGCTCCAATCCCTCAGACAGACAAACACCAACAAGAGCTCTATCAAGCATTCTTAAAACTACAATACCCACGTGGGGAAGTGAGGAAACAGATTGACAGAGCGAGATGTGTACCCAGAAGTCCCCTACTACAGGATAGGCAAAACAAGGAAAATAACAGAATACCACTGGCCATCACGCAACGATCTACAATCTATCCTGGAAAATGATCTCCCACCCTCACAGGCCTTGGGAGGCAGGCCAATCCTCACTTACAGACAAATACTCACGAGCAACTACACACCACACCACAGAAACACTAACCCAGGAAGCAATCCCTGTAACAAACCCCGTTGCCTTCTCAGTCCCATATCTACTCTAGCGACACCATAATAAGACCCAATAATAACCAATAACTTCAATTAGAAGTTGGAGACATTGATGTTTAAAAACTGCAAACACGATAGTAGTAATTCTTTTTTTATTATGTATATCATACTATAGGTCTATAAGGTTAGAGTCTGATCACACTTGTTTTTACGTTTAAGTGAATCACTAGTGACTTAAGTGGAGTTACGTCTGATTTATACAAGTGTAGAGAAGATCAAAATTAAGCATACTGTGTGTAATAGTTACATGTAATGACCTTTATATTAGCATATAAGCTGTGCATGGGCTTTGGTAGTCATTAATCATACTTTACAGGTCAGTTGCATAGGGCATTTTCTCCTTTCACTCTAAAGAGTAGAGGGAAACAGAAATTAAACCTCTGAAAGATTTAATAAAAGTTATTGAGTATTTTTAGTCAAAATAAAGTAAGGCTAAGTACTAAAATATTGTCAATCCACCCCATTGTGCTGGGTGGTTTTAGCTCGCCAAATGGTAGGTGAGTTCATATCACGCATTCTACAATGATTTCCTCAGTTCTACTAGGTTAGATTTCAGCTTGAACTCAGTTCCATTCTTTTCTAGGATTCAGTTTAGCTTTTTAATGTTGTTTTGAACATAATTATTTGTATGGCTGTACTATGCTTTAGGAGGCAGGCTTGTCTTGTCTTGGCATTTCCACTTGGAGAGACCACACTCCCTTCATATCTCTTTTTCAGTGTCACAACTTTTTAAAGTAAAATACATGTTTCATTCAACATAATGCAGCTGATTTGACTCATTATCTACTGGGTGCAAATCCATTGCAAAGAACTACTGTAGTAATCTTGTAGTCATCTAGTATCTCAATGATTTTCCTTTCTGGAAATTAATTGCTTAGTTTTTAATTTATTAACTGGAACCATGCTCGCAGGAGTGAGGTGGAAGTCAGGGGGACATGAGCTGAGGGAGGGGCTGATTGTGCGTGCATTGTGTTCCCAGATTGATTTATTGGGTTTACCATGTGGAGTGAGGAGTGGGTGATTTGATGGTGAGGGAGAATGGAGTGGGGAAGGACTCCCTCCTTTTTTTTTTTAAAGGCAAAAAAGTTTGCCTTAAGTTTTAGTATGTTGAGTTGTGGGGGAGGGGAAAGGGAGAGAATTTTGTACATAGTAGGAATGTATTTTAGAACAGGGAGCGGTAATCTTTTCATTGAGTTCATTGGATCAGGCTCAATAACTGTGATCTTATTTTTGTAACCCTCATCCACCTGTGTGTTTTTTAA